TAATGTGAGGGTTCAAGGAAATGGGAAAAAGCACAACCTCTGAGACCAGAGAGTCCAGAGATAAAACTCTATTCTACCTGCAGTTTTCAGATTTAGCAAATAAAAAAAAGTGATGGCTACCGAAGCCTCTCTAGTGGCATACAGGTTAAGTCTCAGTGCTATCACCACTACAGTCAGAGTTCAATCCCTGGCTAGGGAACTAACCCACATATGGCACAGCATACCTCTCCTGTCTAACCTGCTGCTGCCCTTAGCAGATTATTTCAGTAAATCCACCTGTTCTGCTCCCACTCTATCTCTGGGGAATCCTCTTACACACAGCCCTGCACCTCTGGCCTATACTCCAGTTCTTATATGAAAAAAAAAAAATCATTGAAATAAATAAAAGTGATGGCTACCCAGTTAAATTTGAATTTTAGATGATCAACATTTTGAAGTTTAATTTAATTCAATTCAATGGGATATCTGGAACATCTTTACGCAAAAAAAAAAAAAATGCTACCTATCTGAAATTCAAATTTACCTGGGAATACTGTATTTTATCAAGCAGTCCTATCTATGTGACCTCAGCAAGTTATGTAACCTCTATGCGTCAGCATCCATGTAACAATAACATGATCTACAGTATAGGATCCTGTTAGGAATATATGTAAAGGATGTATGTATCACATGTGTATGAAACAGAACAGTCTCATAAATAATAAAATCAATCTGAGATGTTATTATTAGTTATTCATAAAACAGATCAGGTTTTTATTGCAGTCCATGATAAGACTTCTTATTTATCCTTCTGAAAATATGCTTTAAATTTTGTGGGGCTGAGGATGTTGGTTGGTGCAAGAACCACTTACACCTAGTAATACAACTAAATGTTTTAAAAATATGGAATTCTATTAAAGTAGAATTCATTAGCATATAAATGTTTCTTTCGAAAGAGAACAAGAACATAGACTTCAAAACTGCTGCATATAAAAACTTTTCCACATTTATTTCTAAAGCTTGGCATTCATTATGCAAAATACCCAAAGCATTTACTAAACTTTTCTAGAATTTTTTGAATTCTAATGAGTTTCAAAATCAGCTCTATAGGATAAAGAGTAACACATAAATTATATTTTTCACAGATAAAATAACCCCTCAAGATTTTCAGAGGTGCTTTTTTCTTCTTATGGATGCATTTACTGTGAGAGTTGAAAATTCATTGCTGGTCTATTAGTTTAGGTAATAATTTTTACTTCACATAGATTAAAGTTGGGTGCTTTTATTTTTATTTTTCTGTTTTTTCCAGGTACAGAAAGATGTAGAACTTTGTTTAAAATTTGTGCCATCAATGGAAGTAACTGAATGTACAATGACATAAGCAGAGATGTCTATTATTTGGAAATATAGTTCATTTTTAATGCATTCCATTTTTACCTAGTTTATTTAATAGACTGATCTGACTGAAGTGGAAAGTCACAACTTTTGGGAAATAATTGTGGAAGAAAAAGAGTATATTCTATCAGTAAAAATACTGATAGAGTAAAACATCTGTTAAATCTATGCTTTCTGTTCTTATATATATTTTTTTTTCTACAAGAGAAATACAGAAAACTATACTGTTCTGAGATTAGTGTTTCACAAGTGTAGTGTAAATTTTTGGTGGTATATATTTATGGAATGGCATAATGCTAAAGAATGATGAAAACTTACCATTTTGTTAAAATAGTAAAACTGCTTTTCCTATAAATGTTATTTTACTTTCCAAACATGGATCCAGTTGAGAAGGGGTTTCAGACAATCTCTGACTTCAACAATTAACCCCAGTTTCTTTCTTGCTATCTTCTATCATTGGCATTGATACCATCATTAGCTTTACATTTATAAAGCTATTTTATTTTATTTTTTAAAGATTTATTTATTTATACAAGAACTGGGATACAGGTCAGAGGCACAGGAGGGTGAGAGAATTCACCAGAGCCAGAGGGGAGAGCAGAGTAGTCAGACTGACGAAATACACTGCTGAGGGGAGCAGCGGGCAAGGCAGGAGAGGTCTGCTCGCCATGTGGGTTTCTACCTGGCTGGCCAAGAATTGAACCCATGCTGCAGAGGCTGTGGACAGCTTCACAGCGCAGCCCTCCACCCACTGCGCCACCAGGGAGGCCCTATAAAGCTATTTTAAAAGCACTTATGAAGCAAATTTGCTGCATCCTACCGTAGTTCCATTATTAATATTGTGAAGGACCTCCTACTATTTTCCATAGTAACTATTCCAATTTACCTTCCCACCAACAAAGCACAAAGGCTTCCTCTTTTCCCACATACTTGTCAACACTTGTAATTCATTCTTTTTAATAATATCCATCCTAATAGATGTAAGGAGATACCTTATTGTGTTTTTGATCTGCATCTCCTTAGTGACTAGTGATGTCAAGCATATTTTCATATACCTATTGGCTTCTTTCCTTTGGAAAAGTTTTGTATGCATGTGTTCTATCCATTTATTAATTAGGGTTTTTCCTTGTGAGTTCTATCAGCTCTACATTTAATTATTTTCAATGTGATGGAATTGTTTTCTTAATTCTATTCCTTAAAGTTCACTTAGTTTTAGTACAACACCAGAGTTTTGTATATTGATATGCTGCAACTTGACTGAATTTGTTTATTATTCTAACTTTATTTTTTTTGGTGGAGACTTTAGGTTTTGTATGATATCCTTATGTATGTCATCACAAGTAGTGAGTTTTACTTCTTCCTTTCCAGTTTGTATTCTTCTTGTTTCTTTCTACTGATTATTCTAGCTACAGTTTCTAATATTATGTTGAATAAAAGTGTTAATAGTGGACATCACTGTCCTGTTCCTGATTTTACAGGAAAAGGTTTCAGCTTTTTACACTGTTTGATATTAGTTGCAGACTTATATGTGATTCTTTATGATGTCAAGGCACATTACCATTTACCATAAGGCCACTTTTGCTGAGAGCTTTTTTTTTTTTTTAAGACTCATTTATTTATACAAGCACTGGGGTACAGTCAGAAGCGCGGGAGGGTGGGAACATTCACCAGAGACAGAGCAGAAAGCAGAACAGGCAGACTGATGAAGTACACTGCTGAGGGGAGCAGCAGGCATGGCAAGAGAGGTCTGTGCGCCATGTGGATCCCTCGCCCAGTGGCCGAGGATTGAACCGGCAATGCAGAGGCTGCTGGCAGCTTTGCAGCCCAGCGCTCAACCGCTGCGCCACCGGGGAGGCCCCAGCTTTTTTTGCTTTTTAAAGATTTATTTATTTATGCATACAAGAGCTGGGGTACAGGCCAGAGATGCAGGGGGTGAGAGGATTCACCAGAAACAGAGTGGGGAACAGAACAGTCAGACTGCCTGAAATACACTGCTGAGGGGAGGAGCCCATGAGTCAGGAGAGGTCTGACAACCACCATGTGGGTTTCTCCCTGGCCAGCCAGGGATCAGACTCGTGCTGCAGAGGCTGCAGTTTGCTTTGTAGTGTTGTGCTTTACCCCTTGTGCCACCAGGGAGGCCTTGCTGAGAGTTTTTATAATAAATGGATGTTGAATTTTGAAGCAATGCCTACAGAATTTAATCTTTCTGCATCTATTGAAACAACTATATGAATTTTTGCTTAATTTTGTTAATAAGTGATATGCATTGATTAAAAAAAATTATCCTTGCACCCCTAAATAAATTTCACTTGATCATGGTGTATAATTATTTTAATATATTGCTGAATTAGGCTTGCTAATATTTTCTGGAGAATTTTTCCATGTATGTTCATTAGGAATATTGGCAGGTAATTTTCTTTTTTTGTGGTGTCCTTGTCTGGTTATGATAGCACACTAATGCTAGCTTTATAAAGTGAGTTTGCAACAGCTTAAGAAGGGTTGGTATTAATTCTTCTTTGGGTATTTGGGAGAATGAATCACTAAAGCTCTCACTACTCTTCAACTTTGTTGAGGGAAGAGGAACTATTCTCTTCACTGTTGTTCCTGTCCCAATCCCATGTTTAACCACACAGCACTCTCTCAAATACTGGATAAATAAACAGACAATTTCTCCATTTAAATACTGGGAAGTTGAGAATAAGAAACTATTTGCTTTTTCAAAAAACTATAAAATGAGGGTTATTCCTGAAGCTTTGTGGGATAATAGAGATAAACTGAGTCTAACATATATACTTTTTTTTTTTTTTTGTGGGACCCTTGCCAGCGGCCAGGGAGCAAACCGGTGCTACAGAGGCTGCCGGCAGCCTCGCAGCCCAGCGCTCAACCGCTGTGCCACGAGGGGAGGCCCTATACTTTCATTCTTGATTCAAAACTCATTCTTATTATGGCCACAATTCTCTGCTCATTATTACCAGTCATACTTCTTAACAAATATCTTCAAATATTGTCTGCATGTTCTTACCTCTAATTATTCTTCAGTTTGCTATATCCTGACTTGCATATTTTCAATTCTTTGAATTTGCCTTGTAAAATTAAAGGAATATTTAAAAAAATATAAAATGAATATGAAAAGGAATGTTTATGTTATTACTTCAACCGTCCCACTTACAAAATAAGCCTCTCTTCTCAAGTCTCCACAGGTTACATATTTTCCTACTGTCTCATACATCACAGGTTTATCCTTATTCTTCTTCTATTGCAGCATGTCTCATGGTTTTGTCCTGAGCTCTTTCCTCTCAGACTTCTCAGTATCATCAATGTTGCCAATCTTGTGTTTCCTAGACCATCTTATCCATCCATCACAGTAACACCAGGATACTATAATCCATGTTTTAATTCTTTATTTTTATGTCATTGATATCATCAATAAATCTTGTGGGTTCTTCTATTTTTTAAAATACCTTGCATACAATCATTTTTGAAATAAGTTACACAGCTACCAAGCCAGTTTAACTCATGATAACATTTCACCTGAACTACTGCAAATGCCTTCTAACTGGTTCATTATCGTTTTTTTGCTTGTTTTGTTTTAGTTTTGTTTCGGAGGGCAGAAGTGGTAGACTTACTGAATACAGTGCTGAGAGGAGCGCAGGCAAGACGAAAGAGGTTCTCTGTCCCATCTCATTTCTACTGAGGCCAATCTTCAGTCCATTTCCCCTGTAACACAAAGCTAGAGTAATCATTTAAAAATGTTAAATCAGAAGGTTCCTTCTGCTTATACCTCTAGTATTTTTAGATTATCTTTAAATTAACAAAAAAAAAGACCTTCTGTGGCCTGACTTCCCTCTTGCATTCCAAATATTTACTTTAGATAATTCCCCACCTGGACTTTTCTGCTTCCTTCAGTTATACTAACTTCTCTTATGTCCTTGTACAGGCCAACATTTTAAACCTTGACTCTTTCTTTGATCTTGTTCCTCTGACATGGGATTGTCTTTTGTTTCTTTTACATGAGCTGGCATAGCTCATCCTTGGGGCCTGAGAGACCATCTAATGCACACTCATGTTATTTGTTTTCCTTTTCTCATGTGTTGGTAATTATCAGATTGCTGCTTCCTGCTGGTTGTCTGTTCTCATCTGTGAACACTGATCATGTGTGTGTCATGTTCCCCACAGTGAAACAGCAGAACCTGGACTGCAAGCACTCACTGAAGACCTGTTGACTTGATATATGAATAAATATTACTAATTATGTGTGTGATCTTACACCTTGGTCTTACCAGCTGAAAAATGAGAGGATTTAGAATTGATCATGTATGTACTATTTTCCAGGTCTCAAATTATTTTAATTTTCGATCATATTGTTACTGATCAATTTCTCATATATATAATAAAAATGCAAAACACTGAGCAAAATAACTAGTGTCCTAAAGCAAGGTCAAAATCTTTTATTTATTTTTTTTTTAGATTCCAAAAGAAACACTTGTTTATTGAAGATAATTTGGAAAATGTGTGCAAGTATATACAAAGAAATTAAATCTACCACTTATCCTTTCATACCCAAATAGCCAGTGTCAAACATATTCACATGTTTCTTCCCAAGATAATTTATGCACAGTGTTGATGTCGTTTTCACAACATTGTATAATCAAAAAATGTATATATTTTACCAAGAAAATATTTTGTAAAAAAAAATAAAACAGGGGCCTCCCTGGTGGTGCAAGGGGTTAAGACACAACCTATGAAGCAATCCACAGCCACTGCAGCACAAGTTTGATCCCTGGCTGGCCAGGGAGCAACCCACATGGCGCAGCTGACCTCTCCTGACTTGACCACTGCTCCTTTCAGCAGTGTATTTCAGTCACTCTTCCTGTTCTGTTCCCCACTCTGTCTCTGGTGAATCCTCTCACCATCCAAACCTCTGGCCCACTCCCCAGTTCTTATATGCATAAATAAATCTTTACAACAAATAAATAAATAAAAGCAAGGTCACAAGCTTTAAGAAAACAAGATTGGGACTGATTTTCTGGGATACTTGCTCTCTGAGAAATACATTATCTTCCATGCAAATAACTGGAAAGAAAAAACAGGAAATCAAGTCCTCAGGTTTTGTCTGTTAGGTTGGTTTTCATTGTCTTGACTTTTATATTGTCATGAAATGAACTTGCAAAATTTTTGAATATTTAATTGATGATTTAAAAATCACTGAAATATATCAATATACAACTATTTAATTTTGATAAAAAATAATGATTTCAGGGTTCTTGGAAAATCATGCTTCATTAAAAAACCAGGAATGGTCTATTTTTTGGCACTGTATATCTGAAATTAACTTTCTTTGAAAGGTGGCTCACAGAATTTAAAATTCGAAATGTTTGTTTACCAAAGGACATTCTAGCTGGGCTTTAACAGTTACGGGTGGGTAGCCACCCCAAATCCATATCCGCTCATCTCTTATTTTCAAAGCCTTGATGTATTCAGTCATCGTCTCTTTTCCACAAGGCCATATGTGCTTCTGGGTAGGTAGACTGCACCCTCGGACACAGGGTCCTGATATTTCTAAGCTGAATGGTTTATCGTGAGCAATGGACCACATGGCTCCTGCTAAATGTTTAATTGCTCTTTAAAGGAAATGCAAAGAAAAGATGGATCCTTTCCTTTCAATGATTTCTTTCATTTCCTGAGTGCAGATCTCTCTGGAAGCAATGCAGTCATCCTACACTTACAGGGGATTAAGGGAACCCTGCAAAGACAGCACAGCACACACACACAAAGCCTGGTTCTTTGGGGTTGTTCCTGGATAACACATTTTCGTAAATATTTTGCTTGTGGAGCTTTCAATGTCTATTATTGATGTATAAAGATATTCTAGAATTTTTTTAGATTGTAACAAATTATATTTAAACATGGTAATATTAAACCCTTATTTAAGGGGGAGAGAGGAGAGGAAGGGGTTGACAGGGGTAGTTTGGTGAAGGGTGAGTGGAATGCGTTCACATGTGGAGGAGCAAAAAATGTAACCAAAAATTTAAAATTAAAAATAAACCTACCATTTATTTATGGACTCAGTCACATTTAATGCCTTATTAAAAACTATTACTGAAATGTTTGTATCTTATTTTCCATTAAAAAAAAACACTTCATCCATTAATTTCTGAGTTATTTTCTTCCTAGCATGACGCTGTATTAATCTAGTTCCTGTCCTTTCAGTTATTACTCTATGCATTTATAAGTAGCTTGACAGAAAGGAAAGGAAAATCTAGAGGAGTGTTGTGAAAGAAAGTGATAAAAGTAAATTTAATAATAGATTTATTTAAAGCAATAGATCCAGAGCCTTCCTGGTGTCACAGGGGTTAAGTTTCAGAACAATGAAGCTATCACCAGCCACTGCAGCATGATTTAATCCCCATCCACGGAGGTCACCCACATGGTGCAGCAGACCTCTCCTGTCTCACCTGCTGCTCCCTTCAGCAGTGTATTTCAGTAGATCTGCTTGTTCTGCTCCCCACTCTGTCTCTGGTGAATCCTCTCACCCCCTCACACCTCTGGCCAACACCCCAGTTCTTATATGCATAAATAAATAAATAAACAAACAAAAAAATAGATCAAAGTATTATCATTTCAACATGTAATCGACTAATTGACCTAAAATTACTAATGATGAACATTTTTTTTAATTTACTTTTATTATTTTATGCATACAAGAACTGGGGTACAGGCCAGAGGTGTGGGTGGTGAGAGGATTCACCAGAGACAATGTGGGGAACAGAACAGGCAGTGGGGGAGACGCTGCTCCATGTGGGTAGCTCCCTGGTGGGTCCAGGGATTGAACTCATGCTGCAGAGGCTCCTGATAGCTTTATAGTGCTGTGCTTAACCCCTTGCGCCACTAGGGAGGCCTTGTGAGGAACTTTTGTTTCATAATAAGTCTTCAGTTGCCAATGTGTGTTGTATACTTACAGAACATCTCAGTTTAGAAAGCCACCTGTCAATAGCAGCTACTAGATACCAAACTGTATAGCCATGCTTTACCATGACAACATAGTAATGACAGCTAAGCCACAGAGCAATTGAACCTGTAATATCAGAGTGACATGTGGATTAAATCTAATCTATATAGCTATAGTAAACAGAACAACCCGACTACACCTCTTAAGAGTAGATCCAACAGGATTTATTGATCTGTTGGCAGTAAGCAACAGATCTCACTATGTTCTTATAATAAGAGCTTTTTCAGTTAGACCTCTTCTTGCTCCTGATTTCTATGTTATATTGGATTTCACTGCCATCTTCAGTAGACTGGGGCCAAATATACTACTGATTATATCCTCTCTTCCATTACACACTAGCATTTATCTTCTTATATAAAGACAGAGGAATAAAGCCCAGAATTTGCATTGATTGTAAATTAAAGAGAGAGATCTGGTTAAAGGGTTTCTGTGCAGCATATAATGAGCTAACCACAGTTATTTTAATGGATCAAGAAATGTTCATTGTTTGTGCCTAAGGACTTCTAGGAACTACAAGATCATGTTTAAAAGCATTTTTATAAAATACTTTAAAATGGGGAAACTTTGTGAGCCATTTCTTCCATCTCTTTCATATCACTTTTCCTGTGGCTATACTCCTGCTGATCTGCCTCTCGTTCTCAGAAGTTACAGCCTCAGCTGTTAATTATAATAATAAAATCTAAAGCTCAAGATTATTTTCACAATGTGTCTATCCATGACAGCACTCCACTGCCTAGGAGAATGTGTGACAGCAACGAATATGATCCCAACATAGAACAGGCCAGCAGGTAGTCGTCCCTTTGTATCTTGGGTCACCATCTATAAACTGGACTTAAGAACAGTTGCTTAAATGTGGAGGACACACATAAGACACAATATCAAAAGTTTTCCATAGAGTCTGTCACATTCAAAATGTTAGGTTTTTTTTCCATATGTTTCATATATTCTATATGCATTCATTTATCAAAAAGAAGAAAATATGTGAGATTTTTAAATGGAAGCAATAATGCAAGAAAAGAAACAGGGAGAAAGAAAAAGGAGAGAATGGGGACAAAGGAAGGAGAGAAGGAAGAATAAAGAATGGGGGCAGGAAGAAGGAAGAACCAAGGGAGAGAGGGAAGAATTTTCTAAATCCCTTGATTTCAGGCTATGCATCCCCTAATAAAGGCAGCATAACTGTGTTTAAGAGTTCAGTTTTCTAATCCTAGACCTACATAGTTTTGAATCATGACTTCTCTGTGTCTCAGCTTCCCATTTGTGAAATAGAAGTAAGAACAGTGTACTCACTGTAGAAGAGCTGTGAGGATTAACGAGATGTGTACAGAGGGCCTCCCTGGTGGTACAGGGGTTAAGTCTCAGCACTATCAAGCTATCTCCAGTCACTGCAGCACAAGTTCAATACCCAGCCAAGTTGCTACCCACATAGTGCAGCAGACCTTCCTGTCTTGCCTGCTGCTCCCCTCAGCAGTATATTTCAGTAAAATCTGCCTGTTCTGTTCCCCATTCTGTCTCTGATGAATCCTCTCACCCCCCTCCGCACCTCTGGTCTACACCCCAATTCTTCTATGCATAAATAAATAAAACAATCTAAAAAAAAAAAAAAAGATGTGTTCAGAGTCTTCCTAATTTTGCCCAGTAAGAAACAAATGTCTGATTATTGCCCATCATTATTATTACTTGAAAGGATCCTTTCAGAGTCTACTAGGAC